CTGCTACGGCAAAATGTTTCCCTAAACTGAATGTCACAATTGGGACACTCTCTTTCAGACGAGATATACAGAGTTGAGACACATTTCCGACGGATAGGTTTCGTGAAACGAATTCTGCTAATAAGCTAGCTGGACTTGGATCAAAACACCTTCCCATCACAAACTGCATGACCTTCACATATCTTTGTGATCGGTGGACCGTAGAATACCGACAATCAAGTCACGCGCTTCTGTACACATGCGGTTTTATTGCCCAGTTGATTCAGCCAGTATTATAGACAAATGCAGATTTCACACATAAAGACTTTTACAATTTGTCACAAAAAATGGGCCGAAAGTAACGAATCATGTTGAAAGAGGTTTAAATTCAAAACGTTCTCTGACGTTTCATAAAGTTGGCTGAAATTCGGGAATCGTCTAACGTCGACCAAAGTATAGCAGATTTCATCAGACATTATATATTAAAATTGTGGAAACCGAATACCAGCAAGAAGTCATTTTTGCAAGCGACAGTTCACTTGGATCCGGTGTAAATAGGATCATGTGTGGGTTACGGTAAATTCAGAAATAGATGCACGATAAACTCACATAAGTTTATGTTCTTGAGGGAACGCACTATTCATAGAGCTCGGCAGTCCACAACAGGTGTAACCCTTCTTGGAGCTCATTACCTATGTGCAGTAGCTGAATTTCGTCAACATTTTGTTCCGCGTGAACCTCATACAAGTTTACTAGAATTATTTAACACCTGGCCGACTCAAACAAAGCCTTTAAATTTAATTGTCATTTAGTTGAATCAAAACACTACTCAACGTACCTGTACGTCAAGAGGAAAATCGTTTAATTCCAGAGTTTCCAGAAAGATGCCACGCAGACGTCGACGTTCGACAATATATATTTCGTTGTTGTCTCCCGTATGCGTGTTGATCCAGTGTTGGTCTTTGGACTCGTTTAAGATGTTATCAATCAGAATTAGAGGATTCCAGCATCGCTGAAGGTCTATTTTCCGAAGTTCCTAAAATAAGAAAGAGTAATCGCGTTACAATTCGAGTAAACCTTCACTAGTATACCTATTACTGCTTAGCTTGAACTGGTCTCTTGATGTGACGACTTTTGGCCTCATGGCTATCTGGCACATGAGGCATTATGTTATTGACTGCTTGTGCTCAGCGCACACCGTGACAAATCAGATTATTTCCCAACTGGGTTAGTAGCGTCCTTCAGTTCCCCGGATAAACACGGAGCTATGGTCCATGTTTCTACATTCTGTATAGTCCGGTTCAGACAAACAGATGATCAGTTTCAATCCTGAAACAATAGATACCAGCGCACCAATAATCAAACTGCCCCAATGCGAAAGATCGCACAAAACACTCATAGGTTGTCCGGGGAAGTGAGTTATATATAGCAGAATATACATCCAGAATAAAAAAATAAATTTTAAGAGCACGTAAAAATCGGTCTCGAAAAGTCAGTGTTATCGTAGAGCTAATGCTGCCAACGGAAAAATTAAAACATCGACGAGATCATGTAGCAGTTTGAACCAATGGCAAGGGTATTCTAACATCACATTCACAGGTTTAGAATTTGCTTATACTTATCGCACATGAACTGCATTTTGTGTTCCTCTGAGGCGTGCCGAATGGTCACATAAGTTTCACCCGTGGATATGGCGTGTATACCTCCAATACAGTTTCCTTTCAATGTGTCGCATATGTGGGAAAATTCTTCACGCCGCTGGTTATCAAGCTTGTGTAATAATTTTCGACATATCAACAAGGCATCAGTTCAAACAAGGCGTGATGTACAATAAGTAGGCATTATTTGGGCTAGAAAGCAGCTGTTTGAGAAAAATGTCTGTACCTTCCAAAATAAATAGGAACAATCCACCAAATCAGCAGACATTCATTACCAACTTGCAAACAGATATGGCCGGAGTTATATGACACGATCACAAATTAGGTAGTTGCCGTTTCCAGCTTGTTGTTTATCATATATTCTTGGTCGGCGGATTGTTGTGTATCCGTGCTAAACTAGTGTTCTGGTAACTTTTGACTACTGGAGCTGTAGCAGGTTGTCTAAACTCTGCACGATGTTCTTTCATTGCCAGCGTTATATAAGGCTTTGAGCATCCTGAAATGCTGGTGGGTAAATAGTTTTTCCCAAAACTGTCATAGTTTAGTTAAAAACCTCATTTATTTCCTTAAAGGAGACTACTCACAAGGTTGCTGCAAACTCTCCAGCAGCCTTGTGAGTAGTCTCCTTTATGAAAATATACTGCGATATCTCGAATATCGTGCCAACTGAATCATGGAACGGCCTGTGTGCAGCATTTAGTTGTAGAATATCATAAACGAGATATTCAGTTGAGTCTCTCGTGGAAACAAAATTGATTTGCAAATGAGTGTATTTCTCATTTATTTCCTGTAACTTTTTATCACACCGAATACTTCAGTTGTTGTACTGATAACGAAAACCCAAACAGGTTGATATTTCCTTCGCCATTCACAAACGGTCCAAGCAGCTAAAGTTGAAACAAACGAAGCTATGAAGAGTACATGAATGGAATAGTTGTCCTGCTCAATAAAGCAAAAAACAAATGCTACTGTTTTTCTTGTCGTTCCACATTTGAACTAGTGAAGTAGCAGAAAGCCGTAATCATGAGCTTCACCACTTTGGCTCAGCTGCTTTTAAATACCTTTCCAATGTCTGCTTAGGCCCTTTTGGATGATCCGTAAAACAGATCAATCAAATTGCTTGAAAGAACGACACATTATTTCACAATAGCCCCCTCTTTACGTTCTCGATCCGGCTAGGAAATGCCAGTGAGCTTCTGATACTCAATCCCCGAATAAGTGTCTTCTAAATCACCGTAGATCATTGAAAATCAGCCTAAGTAACACCAATGACAAATTAGTCCACAAACACTCATGCAGTAAATGACGAAATTCTTAACACTTTTGCGAAATCAATCCTCGGAGTTGTTCCTATCCACACGTAATCAATCCAACCGAGCCAAGTCAAGTTGGAATTAGTCGCTGTTCTGTTTTTGTTACAGCCCTGATGTGGTCAAGAGGACAAGTTTGCACTAATTGTATAACCACCATAAATGATATTTTGCTTATCTTTTTACTTGATATGCTATTTCTATTGCGTTAGTATCTTTTGCTGAGTGGCTTGAGTTGTATACCAGTAAGTATTTCTTCCAACAATCCTTACTGTAAAAAGGGTTTTTTGGTGCCAGCTTAAAACAAAGTAACAGAGTCAAAGGTTTGAAAAAAACGGTTCCTCCGGAGAGGTTATTGCCAGAATTTGATAACGCAGTGAGAACACACACTAAACTTGGCTTTCGTTTGGAAATAATAACGCACAACTCCGTTCCTAATCACATTTATACTTTTTGAGGCATAGTATTTAGGTGAAATTAAATTATACAAAACTTAGATTTTGTCAGTATCTTTCAAGGATCTAATAAACAATAGGACTTGGGGTTCCTGTTTATGTGGTGCACAAATTTTTGGCGTCCTTACCTGAGCCAAAGTCACCTTGATCCTATATTTGTTTAATCATTATTCAGGCATTCATAACCACAGAGACTGCGCTTATAGGAGACAATGTTATGACGGATGGGGCGGGTGGCTTCGATGTGAAAGTCGAAAAAAGCGAAACTATTCGTCGATATTGAAGTGTTTACAGCACACAGAAAAACAAACAGAGAATCACGAGGTTGGTCAATAAAACCCTACTGAATCTAAAGTAGAAATGTTTGTGTTTAAGTAGTAGTAGTGTAATGTCAAGAAGTAATTGTTCGTGGACAAACTAGAATTCACTATCAGACTGCTGCATAGTAGCCAGTTCCATGTAGGATCCGATAAGGGTCGAAATCTGTATAAACTAGCAATTTCTTGGGGGTTTTTGTAGACAAAAATTTGGAAACCACACGTCCAGCTAACTTCATTGGGCACAGTTCCAAAATGCTCATCAGTGTTCGGACCATCTCAGAGTTGAAGTTCTGAGAGCGGTTCAAACGTGCATTCCATTCCAAACTGCCGATCAGGAAAACTTCAGCAGTATACTTTGCGTTTTCAAGATCAGATTTCTCGACAGCATTAACTTATATGGGATTAGCACTTATTCTGGATTTTTACCGCGGAAGCACTCACTCATCGTGAGTCTTCACGAATCAAGGGCAGTTATCAATTTTCTAATTTTGGTTTATTCCTCAGTGAGTACACTGTTCCTCAATCCTTAAATTGTGTGATTCTCTGCACTCTCTGGATTAATTTACTGGTTGGAGTCTATTAGGATCTTCAGTTACGTAGCCACAGTGATCCTACATAATTCCAAACATTGTTTTCTGGGATCAAAAGCGGCACTACATGATTCTGGATTCCACAACAGTATCACATCAAAATATGGAAAAAACTTTGTTTCGTGGGTGGCCCATGCTATGGAACAACCGCCATAAATGTCGTTTCCGGTATACTCACTTTATTTCCAGAATCTTCTTCAATGTCGTCCGAAAATTGGGGTGACCTGGCAACTTTTAAAGCTACATGATAAATTACAACACGCCTCGGGACTCACTTTGCTACGTGAGTCAGGTTACCAGTCAACCGACTGATCACCTAAAACAAACACATGAGATTGGCGTTATTGCTCCGGAAACGTATTCTCAACAGTGCTTTCCCCATCCACCAGAAAATTATCGTTTAGACCATACCTACCGAGTTGATGGAATCGAATTTCCTTGAAAATTGGTACCAACGTGTTCCGCGGTGAACAAACAGCTGTTGTTACTTCGAAAATCCGTTGGAATGATTCGGCTTCTTTTGTTGATATGGTAAAGTGTATATTTCCAACATCGCAGACGAAGAAACGAAAGTAACATTTTAATGCCTCTAGTCTTGTGCCGTCAAGGTCCAATTTCCCAGTTCATGAGGAACGATGTTGCCGACAAAAATCAAAAGGCTGCCGATGATAAATACTTACCTCCTCACTTTTTCCATCCAGCCGCGGTTCACGCCATTTTGCCTGAATAAAAGCATCTGCGTGATAGATCTCCTTCAGTGTGTCGATTTCGCCAATCTTCAGAAAAACTACACGAACTTCCACGACCACCTGCAGATTTAAAATGAAGCAAAAATATGAATCTTGCTGAATAAGCTTATTAAGGATGGCAAAGAATAGTTTCATGGCTAACCTACATTTTCACGGAACTGATGAGTTCAAAGCCTTACAGGAAGATTGGTCAAAATTCGACACCTTATTGCCACTTTGACTCCGGTTAGACGATTTAAGTTTTGTTCTTAGGCCAGAATTTATTCTCGAAGGAAACTGCTCATAAGTTCGAAAGTTCGCAGCCGGTATGGCTCGTATTGGGGGCTCGTCAAGTGGGTGGAGTCTCCATGTTTCCCTCATCCTTACATGCTAACTTAATCCAATTTTACTGCAAAATTAAACCACGCGTAACTACGTGCACACTAATTTTTACACAATGTTGTTTTCGATAGCAGACTCAGATGAATCCCAGCTGATTAGCTCGTCTGATGACTGAATGTGCTGCACACTGATCGCGTAATGTTTCATTTGCACATTATTCGAGATATCGCTGTATATTTCCTATAAGGTTCGAGTGGATCATAAGGTTAACAGAAACTCGATGGATGCACCACCTGACGAAACTCACAAAGTGCTGAATCTGTCGTGGGCTGAAGAAGAGTATTCAGCAAAATTATGAAAAGCATCTTTCAATAAAATACACTGCGATTCCTCGAATATCGTGCCAACCGAAACGTGAGACGGACTATATTGAGACTAGCATAAAGGAGAGGTTCAGTTGGAACTCAGCTGTTTTTGGGGTTAAAGCGGAAATGAAAATGAGTGATTGTCAGAACACATCCTTTGACTTATTGAACCTAGAGGGTGAAACGACCTGCACATGATAGTCAGCGACCTTTGGTTCATTATAGTTTGGTTTATGAGTGAAACAAGAATCCACTTCAGTAATCCTTATTTAGATGGAACCGGTCGTAATTGTTATTGATTACTCATTGAGAGAGGCATCTCCTGGTTCGAGGATATCAGTCATGTTTTTATAATCATTTTCGACTTGATTTGGCTCTGACATTTCCCACATTTTAGGGCTAACCTGCTCAGATGCGAGCCAACTGAGACAACTTAATAGTAGTTATTTAGTCAAGACATAAATCACTGGAAAAGACAGTGACATTACTGTTTGAGGGGTTGTTAGATACTAAGTACACCGACGAACAGTCTGATCCCGCAACCAGTCGGAACTAACTAAAAAATGAAAGGTTCTCGAATGGAGCTGAAGCTTTCTTTGAATTAAGTGATATGTCCAGCATGTGGAAGAGGAACTGGCAACCCACTGCAGCTTCGATTTATGTTATTAACACGAGGAGGCCTGAATCGATCAACATCTCAAGTGTTCAAATTTTGCAACCAATCTTAACAAACGAGATTTCACGAGACTATTTAACGGGTACAGCCAGTCAGATGTCGAGATAAGAACAGTAATACGATGTTCTCCGGAAAAAATAACCAAATTATGAAATTACATTGGACTGCGAAACCTACTGAAGTAGGCCACTACCAAGACAGATGTACTGAGTGCTTATTCTTAGTGGGTGATATGAATACAACAGGCGTTTATCAAACTAATACTCTATCGCAAACCCACAGATCAGTTACCGCCTATCCCACATAACCTGGAAAAATAGAGTTTAGGCAAACCGATCGGCTTAATCAAGCTTCCCATCTCAGGCCAGAACCTCTCAGGTTGCAGCAACAATAACTCCCAATCAAATAGACCTCGTGGAAAATCACTGGAGCGTTTATGGTTCTGACAACAAATGGGTCAGTCCGAAATGAATGATTGCAGGCATAGTGGATACTATTAGAAGGAATAATAAGCTGGCCGTTAAATGGTTCAACATGTTATATGGTTCGTTGACACAACCATACGGGCACCTAGTAGGGTACCAATAGGGCATCGTCCTTATTAAACAACCCTTAACGCTTTTCAAGAACGATAATGATAGACGAGAGGGGAGTTTCAGTGAAATAAAGCTTTGAGAAAACCCATAACCGAGATTGCGGAGTTTACATAACTAAAAATTATGTGACACTAAGTTGCGGAACCTGAAAAAAATGACAACCATTTCACAAACTATACATTTTGTCTAGAGGCGAATTCACTTCTTCTACTACTCATAGGGTTGCTGAAAATTCTTTGAACAATCCTTCGGAAAACATATGTATGAACCCTGTTAGAGGTGGAACGTAATCGGGTGGAGGGTATTTTGTTAGTATTTTCTCGATACTAATTTCTAACCCATTACATTGGTAATAACATAGTTCACAGTGGTGCCGGCGGTTGCACTCCTTTTTTCGCAGCAATCAGTTTCGTTTTTCTGGCCATGGTTGGATTAATTTTAGTTTCCACATGCACATGTTCTATATAGTAGATGCCTTGTTGCTGCTAATGTATGTTATTCTCATTGTAGGTGTGCTGAAATAACAGATTAAACAGAAACAGACTCTGAGCTTCTCTACATTCTGATAGCGAACAATGCATGGTTGGATGTCGACCTATAAACGCTAGGCTACGAAAGCCCCATGCCAGCAGATACAATCGGTTTGCGGGGTAGCCGTATCTGGCAAACGCGTAAAATCAGCTTGTGGCCGGGCTTTTTCAGAGTAAGGTGAGCTCAACTGGGGGTTCTTCCCTTTGGCAAGTATCTTGATTAGGTTAAGCCAAACTGAAGCTGCCAAAAGATGTTCCCTTACCTTCTTTAAACTTCCTCTTCCCAGAGGTGCTAATTAGATAAGGGGTAATCAATATGGGAATAAGCTTCAGTCAATCCACTTAAAAACATTTAATCAATCTTTGATAGAGGAATGGAAAACTAATAGAAAGCACAAGCTTTCTGTTTTCTGGCTCCCACTCTACCCAGTCTATTTTTAAAGCTGTAACCATCATGACGTCTGGGGCGAATTCGCACATAACAATCAAGGCAAACACCTGCATAGCAAAAGGAAAATATCGCAAAAAAGTGGATTGGGCAATAAAACTGAGAGCCTCTATAGCAGAAGAATGGAAGAATGATAGCACATAAATCCAGAATATCAGGCACGGTGGTGCAAAAATGACCCATTGAGGAGAGTATGTTTTATTGTTTCACATTATTCGCGAAACCACCAGTATGTTTACATGCAGCATGATAACGAAGACGGTGTTGTATTCGGTGGCTTAAGACGTTTGTAGTGATTATCAGTATGTCTTCTCTGGGATGTATCCACAATTTAGAATAGTTCAAAGGGGCAAAACTCAAATTCAGTGCCTCTACTCTACGCTTTGGATACTCCAAAAGAATCGAAACATTGAAAGAAGGGGAGTTTTTACTAGAAATGCACTCATTTGTAAATAATTTTGGCTTTCACGAGACTCAACTGAATCTCTCGTTGATGATTTTCTAAAACTGGATGTGCTGCACACAGGCCGCCTCATGTTTCAGTTGGCACGATATTCGAGATATTGCAGTAGAATTTCATAAAAGAAACTAATAACAAGGTTGCTAAAAACTCTTCGACAGCCCACGACCGGTTTCGCCCTTCTTGGGGCTCCCATAGGAACCTACTTACAAGGTTGCTGAAAACTCTTCGACAGCCCACAACCGATTACGCCCTTCTAGGTGCTTGTCAGGTAGGCTCAGTGCCCTGGTTTCCGTCAACCCTATGTCCTACTTGAACCCAAATTGGACCGTTTTCGAGATTCAGTTGAGTCTCTCGTGAAAACGAAATTGATTTACAAATGATTGTATTTTTCAAAAATAGTTCAATTTGGGTTCACGTGGAACATAAGGTTGACGGAAACTCGGGGACTGCGTCTACCTGATGAGCCCCAAGAAGGGCGAGACCGGTCGTGGATTGACCAAGAGTTATCAGCAACCTTGTAAGTAGTTTCCTTTATGAAAAAGGGGTTTGTTTAATTTAAAGTGATATGGATACAAAGTTCTGCAAATTCAACAACTACCTGCAAGTGATCAATATTTTTCAAGCTTTTCTTCAGACATCCGTGGAGCTTCCTGACTGGAAGGTCCTGACGGCTGAATCGACCGATCGACAGTGCCAGGATTGCCATTCGAGTAGTTAAGGAAACCAGCCAACTCATACCAGCGTGGATGTAAGAATTCAGATTGGTCCGGCTTGCGCTGGTGCGATAGTGGTCACATGATCGCCTCGCCTGTCAGCTCTCCGTAGTTCAAAACTTGACACGGTCAAAAATACGCGCCGGTGATGATTTCAAATAAGAAATTAACTCGAGTTCAGTGCATCACCCACTTATTGTAGACTCACCAAAATAATCACACTAGGACGAGAAGAGGCTGTACAAGCGAGACTAGCGTAGAACCAAAATTCTACAAATCTTGTAACCATCCGTGGCGAAGTACTTCTGAACGGATTCTTTCGTTTATGTTACAAACCTGTCAAAGCTTACAGTGCTCCTGCGTGTTTCCAATGATTGGCATGCACGAACTAGTCTGTTAACAGATGAGCAACACAATTGTGTACCGTTGCCAACCTCTTCGCCAGTCTTGATGTTTATCTTTGTTGCACTCAACGGTTGTTTGCTTTCACCCACAACAGCGAGTGCAGAACCACCGACAAACGTTTTGGCAAATGCTTTTTCCTCGTGCCTAATGCAAGAGCAAAACATACCTAGCTAGTTGCTTCCCGTCAGTCAGTCATTCCCATGTGTTTATCTCAGGCGTATTAGCAAATGTCAAAGGGCCATACGCACACAGAGTTAAGTTTTGGCACAAAATCAATTCTACGGTGTTGCCAAAATGACTGCATGGTGCTCGGGGTTGGTTACTTGAGTGAAGCACTGGGGGCGCGGGAATATGAAATCAGTCCGTGGTTGGGGTCCAAATAAACCGGTACTATCCGGCAGTAAATTACTGAGCGTTAACTTCACCTGTCAATCTGTCAAATATTTCAGTCCTTGTGAAACTAGCGGATTACGGTTCTGGAACTCCACGTTAACGGAAGTAAATACAGCCAAGTTAAGAACTTTCTAACTAAAAAAGTGTATT